ATAGAAAAACAATTGCCATTAATTTATACAGAAAAAATGTTGACCTTCCCACATCCAAAATATGATCTAACCAAATCATACCAAATAACACAGAAACCCTAAAATAACACTAACAATAAAGTAAATAAACTATAACATATAATTAAAGCAGGAATGGTATCATAGATGCAGAGCCTCTATAAATAGTTCCAGGAAAGGAATTTGGGGTGCAGTACTCACTTCTTGTGATGCCACACTCATTTCTTGGGGTGCTGCTTTCTCAATTATCACTGTTTCAAAACAAATGCTCGTATGCTATTTTTGCCTTTCATCTTTTGTCATGAAAGCAAAAACTCTCTTTGAATTTCTTTTGGCTAGCAAAAAAGGGTACTAATTTAGGTCTCTCATAAAAGCAAAGTGGCTTCGCAAAAACTTTCAAAAAGTGGCAGATACCTGTAACCCCACAACGATGAAGTAAAAGGAGGTCATTACCAGAGGAGCAATTCAACATGTTTTGGAGGACAAAAAAAAGATGGGGGACTGGAGCTAAAGTTTGAAGGCAAAAGAAGCCTCAGCCTCAATGTCAGGCAGAGGATGCTGGCGCCAGGAAGGCAGCAGAGCCCTAAACTTGCCCTGCGCTCTGAGGTGGCAGGTATTCTAGGGGTGGTAAGAAAACAAGAGATTGAACAAAGGGGCATAAATTGCAGGACTCTATATGGAATGTAGGCCCTGTCTACTCCCTTCCTGCTCCCACATCCAGTGATCCACAGCCAGGTACTCAGCTGTAGTTACCACCACATGTCACAACTGTCACACATAGTGCTGTTTCTGAATGTAGCCCCTTGATCACTGGGTCTTTTTTTTTTTTTTTTAGTTTTATTTATTTATTTATACAGGCACTGGGTACAGTCAGAAGTGCGGGAAGGTGAGAGAATTCACCAGAGCCAGAGTGGGGAACAGAACAGGCAGACTGACGAAGTACACTGCTGAGGGGAGCAGCGGGCGTGGCAGGAGAGGTCTGCGCACCATGTGGGACCCTCGCCAGTGGCTTAGAAACGGCGCTGCAAAGGCTGTGGTCAGCTTCGCATCCCAGCTCTCAAGCGCTGTGCCACCAGGGGAGGCCCTCACTGGATCTTCTTAAAGAACACACTTAGTGGCCAAAGGGTTGAGATGTTGAAGCCCTTGAGAAGAATCTAAAAATCCCAGTATGTTACCTACTGTGCTGTGAGCAACACCCACCTGGTCAAAGGACATTTTGAGTTTTCGACTTTTAGAATTACTTTATAGATAAATCATAGAAACCAATTATACTATGAAACAGAATTACTATCTTATTAACTTTGATAATGCCAAAGTAAGTGTGCAGTTAGAGGGGACAGGGAAGCTGGTGTGTAGAGGGGGTGGTAACAGTCTTATCTTAGAGAGTCAAGTGTTCTCATCATCAAGTCAATGGAATGAGAAATCTGGTTTGGGGCCTCCCCCGTAGCACAAGGGTTAAAGAAACAGTGCTATCAAGCTATCGCCAGTTACTGTGGCATGAGTTCAATCCTGACCAGGAAGCTGACCCACATGGTGCAGCAGACCTCTCCTGTCTCACCTGCTGCTCCCCTCAGCAGTGTATTTCAGTAGATCTGCCTGTTCTGTTCCTCACTCTGTCTCTGGTGAATCCTCTCACCCCCCACACCTCTGGCCTCCACCCCCATTCTTGTATGCATAAATAAATGAAAGAGAGAGAGAGAGAGAGAGAGAGAGAGAGAGAGAAAGAAGGAGGAAGGAAGAAGGAAGGAAGGAAGGAAGGAAGGAAGGAGGAAGGAAGGAAGGAAGGAAGGAAGGAAGGAAGGAAGGAAGGAAGGAAGGAAGGAAGGAAGGAAGGAAGGAAGGAAGGAAGGAAGGAAGGAGGAAGGAAGGAAGGAAGGAAGGAAGGAGGAAGGAAGGAAGGAAGGAAGGAAGGAAGGAAGGAAGGAGGGAAGGAAGGAAGGAAGGGAGGAAAGGAAAGAAAAGAGAAAGAAAGAAAGAAAGAAAGAAAGAAAGAAAGAAAGAAAGAAAGAAAGAAAGAAAGAAAGAAAGAAAGAAAGAAAGAAAGAAAGAAAGAAAGAAAGAAAGGTAGTTTTAACAAATGCATTGTTTGGAGTGGGAGCGGTGACTAGGGAAAAGGAGGTAAGGAGATGTAGTTGGGGTGTGAATAAACCACACACTTGACTTTCATGGCAGAAAGTCACTAGAAGAGGATCCAAGGTGATAAATTCAGCAAGAGCAGTGTGGAGGCACAGAAGTAACTGTAGCAGAATAGAAAACACAGCTAAAAGTGGGCCGGTGGATAAGGGATTTGGGGTGGGGTGGTGATCATCACTTCCCATTACAAGTCATTCAGTCCTATTTGATGTATTTGTGTACTATGCACATGTGTTGCCTCAAAACCAGTAAAAATTGGGGAACAGAAGAAGAAAAATAATAATAATAAACTTTATGAAATAAGAGAAAGGAAGTCTCCTGTGCAACGTGGTAGGAAGCAGCGTGGGATGGGTTAAGCTGGATACTGCATAACTATGGTAACAGATGTAGCTAATTTAGGACACAAATGAGGGTGTTGGAAGGATCTAAGAGAAATGTGGTGCTAAGAGGGAAGGGGAATAAATTCTAAATAAAGGAATGCTGAGATAATCAGTATGGATGCTCTGCCATCTGACACAAGTAGAAGAGGAAAGAATTGAACCGCCCTCACTTTCCCCAAGTCTTTCCACCATAGATTTTTGAAAGCAAAAGCCAAGAGAGTCTTATATGGGCTCCAAACTGAGTAGAGAAAGCAAATATGATGCAATTCACACTCAAGGAAAGAATATGGGTGGAAATCTTGTCTGTTGTTAAATGAAATTCCATGCATCTCAAAGTTTAATAACTTCATTTGTTCTTCCAGGGGAAAAAAAGCTGATAAATGACACTTATATGCACACATACTAGCTTTCCCTTCAATACAACACAACTGAGCATACACATTAAACTAGACCTTTCAACAGTCCACAGAAAATGACCAAAGGTCTGCAGAAATAGGAACAAATCTGCATCATTCCCACGTCCCAGGAAGGCCGCCACCCACATGGCAAAATCTGAGGCATCTACATCTTTGCAACATCGCCTCCTCCATCCAGGAACATGCCATCCAGTTTCTGGAGCAAATATTGGTAGTTCATGTTTCCCATAAAAATTGCCCACTTCATCAAGATTTTCATATATTTTAAGATTCAATAATGCATAATGTTTTTAGGATTTTAAATCTTTTTTCCCTTTTATTTCACTTCTAGAACTACTCTCTCTTTTTTAATCTTAAAGATTTATTTATTTTAATCTCAATTGAGCTAGAAATTTGTTAATTTTTTTGGCTTTCTAAAAGAACCAACTTACCAGACAAAAAGTGGGTGGAAGGTATATAAGATGGAGGAAAGAGCTTGTGAAAGGTGTGGAAGTTTGGAGGGAGGGTGGGGTTGTATCTAGAAAGATGGGGTTTCAATCTGCCTGGCAAGTAGAATGTGAAGGAATACTTAGAACAGTAGAGATAGGTAAAGAATTGGGGCTTCCTCCTGAGGGTAGAGGAATGATGAGATCAAATTTTTGTTTTGGAAAGATCACTGTGGATGGATGTGGGGGAGGAGGAGTCTCTGGCGCTATCCAGAGTTCTAGCCAGGAGCAATGCAACTGTGTGGAGCAGAACCCCAAGATTAGCGCTGGCAGGGTGAAGGACAACCTCATTGGCATAGGGACCAAAGTCTAGCCGGGCCCCATGAAAGCCACTATAACTAGAATCACTCTGGCCACCTCGAGGGAACCAAGTAGCTTCTTCTCAAAAATGGCAAAGTGGGAAATGGGGGGGTTGGATGACCCATGATTCCCCGCATGTCTGCATTTTTTTTGGTCTTTACAAACTGACCCCCGCCCCAGTTTGCACATGGCCTTGTATGGCTAACAACTCTGAGAATCCAAGTCCTTGTGTGTGTGTGTGTGTGTGTGTGTGTGTGTGTGTGTATAGGCCAGTCATGAGTGTCATATGGTCCTCAGGGCTACCATTTATAGCAGCCAGAGGGATTTGCTACTTGATATTTTCAGCCACTTCAGGGCTCTGCCCACAGAAGCTCATTGCAGATATGGTATGGAGCACTGACATTTGTTTTCTGGCACCATATCCTAGCCTTCCAGGCCTGCAGGTACTGCCCAGAGATCTTGTGGGTTGAGGTCCTGTGTCACATCTGATACATTAAGGGTATTTGCATCTGGACCATGTGGCAATTATTTATGTACTTATGTGTCCATATTTGCAGCTGCAATTGAGGTGATAAGAACTGACCTGGTTTTTAAAGCTGACAATGTTAAAGCTCTACTTTACCAGGAGTTCCCTCAGCACATGCCAAGACTGGGGATCCAGTTACCATTCAAGGTGGAAGAAGCTGTCAGATTTCCAGAACCCTTTAAATCACCACCCACCCTGACCACACCTCAGACCATCCAGTGCATTGAGTCTGAGGATTACTCTAGTCCTCAACTGGGAGAACCTGTCTGCTTCTTCCCAGGAGGGGTCCTTGTTGAGTCATAGACGGCTGATGTTTTTAGCACCATTGGTACCTTATCTTCTAGAGAACCCTTAAAGAACCTGGACCCATTGTTTGTTCTTCCCCCACTCTCTAAAACTAAAATAGATGTGTCTTCTTTTGCCTGGCACTGTCCTGGTTTTAGCACTAACAGTTCCCATCCTGGAAAAATCATCAGTCCTGGACAACCAGGGGCCTATGTAACAGAGCATCAACCATAACTCTGCATGTGTGATATGTACATATAAGTGTACATGTGTATGATATGTATTTATCAAAAAGAAAGCTATTAAAACTATAAATTACAGTGAGAAATTTGACATATTTCTTGTTATCTCTGGCAGATCACATAGGTACAAAGAAAATTCAATCAACAAATTTGCAATCAATAAGTTTGTTTTAATCAAATACAATCGAATGTGGTGAATGCCACTGAGAGCTCACCTTATTCAATAATATAGGCCAACATATTAAATGTTGTTTATCTTGGAAGACAGGCCAGGATGAATCTCTGCTGGAAGCTGGTCATTCCAAAGGTGCTCTTGGAGTCTGGGGGATATTGTTGTTGAAAAGAGGCAGTTTTGATATTGCTACTTTAAGTTTTTTTCAGGTTGAAACTATGGCAGCCAAGGTTTGTGGAGTCAAGCATTGGGGCTGCTGTCTTTCTTCTGGAGATTCAAACTTCTATCACAGAGTCTTTGGGATACACAATTCAAAATGCTGCAACTACATAGGATTCTCTTTTGAAGGCAAAGATTTCCAATGGTCCCAGATTTTACCTAAGTCACTTTTGTCAAAATATTAACATATGCATACTCATAAAGACCAGTTCTAAACACTCAAACATTACAGCTGTATGTCACCAGAATGCTAAAGCCAAGTAGAAATAAAACATCTACCAAACTTTAAAACGTGAAATTAATAAAATGAATACTGCCATGGATAGTACTGTTTGTTGAAACTAAAACATCACTTTAGACTTAACAGATGTAGCCTCAGGTCTAGTTATTACCTGTTAATCATATTCTGAATTTTAATTTCGATAGTACCAATACTAATAACTTGTGAAGCAAAACAATACTGATGACCTCAGAAATACATTCACTACTTGAAGATAATCATATATCGTAATTTAAAATTTTGTTATCAAACCTTCCTAGAGTGCCTCTACGAAGTGCCATTTCATACTAATAATGCTGTTTTCATACAAATAATACAGTCATGGTCACAAACCTTTATTGGATCTTACTACCTGCTCCAAGTCTTCCACATGTAATAACTCCAGTCCTTGCCATACCATTATGAAATCATTCCACATATTTATACTCATAGTAGTAGAGGAAACTAAGGAACAGAGAAGCTGAGTAGCTTGCCTGGAGTCTCACAGTTAATAAGAAGAAAAGCAAAATTGAAGCCAGGCAGTCTGGTTCCAGTTAGCCATTATACCAAATTACCTGTGTCATTACTTTAGACATAAGTACTCTGGACATCGGGAGCTTACTAAATCTGCATTAGCCGGAGCTCTACTTCAATTATTGCTGAAACCAGCAACAGCAATTATTTCGCTGCATTTTTCTACAACATCTGCCGCTAGCAAATTGCTGCAACGTGGTCTATACGAAGGTGGAGCAGATATGAGTGTTTCACTCCTTGCCAAGGCAGCAGTGGCTGCCAGGAGCTGTGCTTTTGAGTTTGGCAAGCCTGGGCCCTGTGAGGACTCACCTCTCTCCCTACATGTCTCTATTTAAACTCTCCCCAGCCCATCTCTGCTGTGACCAAGCTGTCAGGTCAGTCCCTGGCTCAAATGGGAAGCTACAGAGGTAAATCCAGGCCCCAGTATGATCTGGAACATTTTTATATTATTAAAGATTATTATGTTAATGATTCAAGGTTATTATCGAAATAAAATCATCAATTTTAGAGAACACACAGACCCCTCCAAAATACAAATATCCTCAGAACTTCAGAGGCCTATGAAACTGATGCGAGGCCATGAGCTCACAGGGAAGGGCACTATGAAAAGAGCCACATGAAACCCAAGCTCATGTCTCACCAGGTGACTGAAGACATCAGTCTAACACTCTATCTGACTAAAGTTCCTTACTGATCTTAGAAGCAGGATTTGTGCTCCTCTTAAGAAGTTTTTGTTTTGTGATTTTATGTTCTGAACATGTGATGTTTTCTGCTTCCTTCTCAGTTTTTATCACAATTTGCAATTATATATACAGTTGAAGAATTTCCTGATGAATATGTTTCCTGCATATTCATCTGTAAGTGCCATCTGGGCAGAGACCAGTCTGCTTCACCCCATTGTTCTCAGCACATCTCACAGAACCTGGCACATAGTAGGTCCTGGCAGAGTGTTTGTTGAATGGACAAATGAGTGAATGAGTCAATGAATAAATAAAACACATGAGTCACGAATTAGTCAATTTCCCTTTTTTACATGAGTTGCTAAAAGTTTAGAGCTGAGTTTGTTTTCCCCTCCTAGCAAGTTTAGAGGGTCTTATTTTATGCCTGTGTTTTTTTGTGTTAGTCTCATTCTTAATACCATTTTCTGTTTTTATCCTTAGTTTCCCTTTTTCTTCCCCATCTACTTCTAAGTCAATATGCCTGGCTATCGTGTAGGAACCGCTGTAAACCATTTTAAATGCCTTGTAGAATAAGGCTGTTGATAAATAAATATATTTCTCAAAGTCTGTTTTTATATATTTAAATTTTTAATATTAAAGTCTGCCAACATACACGTTTGCTCACCTGTAAACTCGAAAAAAAAAATAGCTGAGATTTGCTCATTCCAGCAATATGCTAATATTGAAAGCAAATTCAACCCTAGCCTGTAACCAGCAAGTGGGGTGTCCTTTCAGGCAGTGCTGTGTACTGTATGTGTGACAAGCACACTTGGAGTAGGGTTAAGCAATTCAGTGGGCAAGAAAGAACATAGGACTTGCTACAAAAAATGGTGGGGTTTTGGAGAAAATAATGATTTATCTTTAGTGGTTCTCCAAAATGTACTGACATTCGAAATGTATTGACATCTTCTCTGGTCTTATTCATTTAAGACCACTTGGTCACAAATGTTGACCAACAATTTTTACCTTAAAATGAAACATAATTTTCAAATCCCATTAAAGAGGATACCCCTAGGTGCCCAAGTTAAACATCTCATCTGTCCCAACTGCACCCCCACACTAGACAGAAAAGGAGTGGAGCCCACCTTCTTCCATCACTTACTCCAGGATGCCTGTCCTCTCCTCTCCTCTGGGATTAATCAGAAAGCACAGAATGTCCATTTAAGAAACTGAGATTTGATTTCTATTATTTATAAGGCTCATTTGAGTCAGTTGAATTTTAGATGACAAACTGCAAGAGAGGGAAGAGTGGGAGTAAGGAAACAGATGGGTAATAATCATGTGTCAGAGATAAATGACAATTTTTAAAAGATTTTGATGGGGTGTGTGGGCTGAGGCGCTCGCTCTCTCTCTCTCTCTCTCTCTCTCTCTCTCTCTCTCTCTTCCCCTCCACCCTCCTTTCTTCTCGCCCTCTCTCAGCAGGGGGTGGAGATTAGAGAAGAAAAGGACGGGGAGAAAAGGCTAGACAATAGGCTAGACCCCAGCGCCTGATCAGCACCCTAAAGCAGTGCGCCCCTCCCACCGCCCCTCCCCCCAAGACCAGGTAGGCAGTGGTTGCGATTTCAAAACAAGCACACGCTGGCCCCCACTTCCCTGCAGTATGGAGGGTGACCTCCACTCGGGGTTCAGATGGCGAGGAGAGACTGGGGAACAGAGTGGAGGGAAGATGGAAGCTAAGAGATGAGCAGACTGGCGAGCTCTCCTCGGAGATAGTGGCGTTTTCCCCCTCAGATTCGCCTAGAAATCCAAGCCCACCCGGGCCTGCTCCCGTGCCGGCGCCCCTGCTCCGAGAGCCCGCGGCGGCTGGGACGCCTCACCTGCTCCCCCCGCAGCCGCGGTGCAGCGGGCCGCCCGGGGGGGGCGAGATCCGGGAGGAACGCGCCCAGCCCCCCGTCACCCCCCACCCCGGCCCCCCGGCGCACCCCGCTCGGGGAGGACCGAGGGCGGCGGCTGAGCGCGAAGGGGAGGGAGACCGCCCGGGAGGCTCGCCGCCGCCGGCCTGGACGGGGAAGAAAGCCCCACCTGTGCGGCGGTGCGCGCAGGGCGGGGTGCGTCCCGGGCGGAGGCCGGTGCTCGGCATCCCGGCTCCCCGAACCTCCGCTGTTACATCAGCAACAAAACCTTTCGGCAGAAAACACGGCTGCCGGGGAGGGCTGCCTCGCAGACGCGCTCACCAGCCCAGCGGCCAGGACCCGCGAGCTGGCGCGCCGAGGAGGGATGCGCAAGGCTCCCCGAATTCCGTGCACATAAACAAAACGCCGGCGAGCCCACGGCGCCGCTCCCGAGACAGACTTACCTCCTGCACGGCACCGTCTCCATCTCTGCCTTTCCACTGTGGTCTGCTGGCCTTTTTGTTCTGCTGCTTTTTTGTTTTTTGTTTTCCTTTTTGGCTCTGCTTAGATGCGCCCGGCTAATCTGCGGAGCCCTGCCGCCCGCCCATGCTGCGCCCCGCGCTTGTCGGGCTGCCGGGGATGCCACCGGCGCTGCGGCTGCTCCGCCCGAGCGGGCACCACGGACCACCGAGGCTGCTGCTCCCCGACAAAAGGCTTCGCTCCCGCTGCCTCCTCACAGCCCTCCCGTCAGAATGAAATCCATTTCCCGCACGCGGCTGGGAGGAAATGAGAGCTCTCTTGGCTGTGTGCGCTGACAAAAGGACGCGCGGCGGTGCCCACAGCGCCCCCTCGAGCGGGCCGGGCCGGCCGCCCCAGGGCCGCGGTGCTGCAGTGCCCCCGCCCGCAGTGCCCGCGCCCCGCGCTGCCGCAGTCCCGCCGCCAGGCTCTGCCCACGTCCGCCCGCGCCCGCCCCGCGGCGGCCCGGAGCAGCCGGGAGGTAAAGCGAAGATCTCGTTACTAGGAAGAAAGCGTGCAACGTGAGTGCCCTTAGAGGACGTCTCCTCCCTGGCATGAAAAAAGAAAAGTGTTACACTTGGGATATTTTTTGCCTGGAAAGATATTTTGCCTTAGAAGAGTAACTCTATTAGGGATGTGAATAGCAATCGTTTGGCCATTTAAGTTTCAAGTCAAAATTATCCCGGTCCTAATTCTGACTCCATTTACAACTAGGGCAAAATTGTTGTTCCCCTACAGTCAGGGGCTATGGGCCCAGCCCCCTCTAATTTTCACCACTGCCCCCTCTCAGACTGGGAGTCCCCAGCCTCCCACCCCAGAGAATACAGGTGTACAGCGAATGGGGAACTCCATAGAAAACCAGAACACTTGGTTATAGTCTCGGACCTGTCATTAACTAGCTGTGTGACACCCCCCCCCCCAATCGCCACCTGGTCCCCAAAGTTCCCCTAAATCAACATCCCCTCTAAGTGAAGGTTTTTAGAAATATTACTTCGGGGCAATTATAGCTTCAGGGGGGAAAAAAAAAAAAGCAGTAGCCCCTGGTCATTTCCTTACAACAAGAGCATGGCCCCTCTGATTGTTCCAGTTTTTGGAGCACCAAACCCTTAAACATCCCTGGAGCCCCTGCACAGTACTGATGCAGAATCAGAATCTCTGCAGGCAGACCCAGGAATCTATATTTTTAACAAACACCCCTAGTGATTTCTTTGCATACTAACATTTAAGAAATGCCACTCGATGTGACCAGTGTAGAAAAAGCCCAGCTGCCACAACAACCCTACAACAACTCTCAGGCATTCCATTTCAGATGCCAGAGTAAATTTTGTCTTTCTATTCTAGCTCCCCCAAGCCTCCACCACCCAGTCTCAGACACTCGTTCCCCACTCTGAGTGTCTTATTCATTCCCATGCCCTCTTCAGAATCACCCAGTTTACATGCACCTCTCCCCGTCTCCCATCACAACCTGATGGAGGAATGGCAAGCAGCCCAGACACCAGGACCAGAGGTCTGTTTAGCCAAACCCAAGTGAGACACTCAGGCAGCTGTGCGCTGTTGGTACCTAATAATAATATATGGGAAGTCAAAAATGCCTCTGCAGAGTCCTGAAATCACAGGGAAGGTGGCCCCTATTCTGAAACAGAATCCAAAAAGGAATAGAAAATTTTTGTTTAGTCTTGAAATAGATTTCTCAAATTCCAGCAATCATCTCCATTTATCAAAAATTTCTTTTCCTGGTGTCATTTCATCTTTCTCAAGCTAAATAGCAAAACCTTTTGGCTCCTGACACTGTTCTGAGGGTTTTACATGCATTTTTTACTCAGTGAATCCTGACAAAAACTCTATAAGAGTGGTACTAGTATCACTCGATTTTGCAGATGAAGAAATTGAGACACAGAGAGGTTAGGTAACTTGCCTGAGGTTGCACAGCAAGTGGGTGGCTGAGCCAGGATTCAAACTCAAGCGCTATGACTCCAGCGCTTGTGGACCCTAACTACTGGCCTATACATGTCCTCTCAGAGGAGGACAAAAAAGACACTGATAAGATTAATAAGGCTGATGCACTCTCCTTTCCCCCCTAAAAATGTGATTTGGCTCTTCTAATCATTATAGAATCTAGAAAAAAAATCTGTCCATTTTCTCCCAGATGCTGCATCTGAACAGGTCATCTGAATGTGATGAGTTCTGGGAAGAGTATCGCCATCCTGTGGCTGCAGGAATTATTCAAATGTCAGATAGGAAATGAGATTTCATTACATTAATTTCCATAATAATAGCCTATGTGGAATTTTAGTCAAGTTTCTGAAGTTCTTACTCAATTCCAAAGTCACTTTGAAACCTAACAAAGGATACCCTAAGTATCCTAAGCTCCACAGGCTGCCACCAGATGATCACTGAAATTCAGAATGTCCACTGCAGAAAGCCCAAGGTGCCAGGCCCTTAACTAGGGACAGGAAAGCACAGTGGACTCCACGTCAGACTCACATTTGGCTAGCCCCCAATGGCCAGATAGTTTAAAATTAGATTTCCTGACTGCTTTGCTATAAAATTATTTCTAATTCCCAAGTCTCTTGACAAAAATATTTCTGGCCAGCAACAGCTTGTGAAAAGAACAGACAGCAGACACCCACATTATCCCCACCTCTTAGTATTTATGCCCTTGAATATCCTTTCCCTTAGGTGCTGGCAGGACCTGTGACTTGCTTCTGACCAAGGGAATATAGTCAAGGGGATAGAATGTCACTTCTGTAATTATGTTACCTATGAGTCCTTGTAGGGTAAGGAAAAAATGTCAGGCTTTTCTGACCTCCCGCCATCAGGATAGATGATGGATCCTTGCGGTCCTGAATGCATGCCTGATGGCGGGCACCTGGAGTAGGGTGTGGGCATAGGTAGATGGGATTCACCTGGGCTAAGACTGTGCTTTTAAGGGCAGCATCACGGGGATGCTAGTAGAAGCCGAGAGAGAAGCAAGAGAAGCAGAAGCCAAGAGAAGGCCGGAGCCCAGAGTGAAGACCTGCTGGGGGCTGGGAGGCCTGCCAGCCTACTGGCACCCCCAGAACCCCTGCCTACCATATGCCTGGTAAATCCCAATAAAAGACCTGCAAAAAACCACTGAGGACTCCTACTCCTCCTTTACCCAGTCTGCTGGATATTAGAAAACCTGCACTGTGTTCAGTCCTGCCTCTGCAATTTGCGTAGTTGGCAGGATGATCCATGCAGACAGGTATGGAGCCCTCCAAAGACCTGGAGGGACTAAGGAATTACAGACTGCGTTTCCCTGTGACAATGCTGGAGGCATCATGGCGACACAGGAGATGGACAAGGTCCGGGACCTGCGGGACGAGACCTCACATGGAGGAGACGCCCGAGAGGACCAGCCAATGACCCCGAGAGGACCAGCCAATGACCCCTGAGGCAGCAAGAATCATCGGGAAGAGAGGACCACGATTCGGAGCTCACCAGTGCTGATGCAGGGAGAGGCCAATGGACTTGGACTGATGGACTTGGACTGATGAACTTGGACTGACAATCCTGCCAGAAGGTGGAGGACCTTGGCAGGTTATGTTTTTTTTGAGAATCTGGGGGTGGCCAATGGGCCTTGATGGCCATGAAAGCAGACTGTGCATGCCCAGCAACTAGGCAGTGGTGAAAAGTCAACTGAGAAGGCAAAAGCTGGTGCTGATGCTAAGTGTGGGAAGCCCTGAGTGGCTGCTAAGCACTAAGTAAGCTGAGGAAGACCAGTGAGTCTCATAAAATCACCTGTGGGTGATGCCCTGCTTGTTGTCGAGTGAGGGTGAGATGCTGAGGAACCTGTCCTTGGGGGACGGGTGGGGAATGTGGCTTCGGGTGGAGCCCAAGCCGAATGCAGAGTTTGTATCCAAGGATCCCCGACCCATGTGCTTGTGCAGTGGGTTGGCCTGACAGCAGGGGTCTGTGAGTCGCATTGGTGGCTATGAAAGCCGAATGTTGGCGCAACTGCAGACAGAAACCCTGAGGGTTGGGCGATTACCCCCAAGAGTAGAATAGAATAGCCAATCCCAGAGTGAGTGCATCCTGGGGGCGGATGCTGTGTGTGGCTTGTAGCCGAGACTACAGCCAGAGAAGGCCAGGAAGCCTGACAGCTCCTGGTGTGTTACAGTAGATGCCATGAGTGATTCCCCTCCCTCGTATGAGCAGTGCCTTCAGCAGCAGATTTGGTGGCTCATCTGCTGGTACCAATAATTGTCTTTTGCCACTAGGTTGGGGCCCTGCCTGGACTTATTTGTGTTCTGTTGTATTTTGTTGTCATATTGTGATGTGTTTGCTTTTGTGGGCCATGGCTGCATTGTTTATGTTTGCTAAGAAAATTGTATATATGAAGACTATATGAGGGGGTGGACTGTAGGGTAAAGAAAAAATGTCAGGCTTTTCTGCCCTCCCGCCATCAGGATAGATGATGGATCCTTGCGGTCCTGAATGCATGCCTGATGGCGGGCACCTGGAGTAGGGTGTGGGCATAGGTAGATGGGATTCACCTGGGCTAAGACTGTGCTTTTAAGGGCAGCATCACGGGGACGCCAGTAGAAGCCGAGAGAAGGCCGGAGAGCCCAGAGTGAAGACCTGCGGGGGCTGGGAGGCCTGCCAGCCTACTGGCACCCCCAGAACCCCTGCCTGCCATATGCCTGGTAAATCCCAATAAAAGACCTGCAAAAAACCACTGAGGACTCTGACTCCTCCTTTACCCAGTCTGCTGGATATTAGAAAACCTGCACTGTGTTCAGTCCTGCCTCTACAGTCCTCATCTTGCCAGCTGATTCCCTTCATTACCCTCTTGGCTTGCATGCATTGATTAAGCACACAGGCATGTTAGGCAGACCTATTTCTACCAAAAACTATATAAGCTTGGAATCAGATCCTTCACAGTCAAGCCTTCAGCTGAGAACTCAGCCCCGACATTTTTGATTTGGAGGTTACATTTTTTCTCTTCCACATGTGCACATGTTCCACTCAGCCACCACCAAACCACCCATACCAATACCCCTCTGCTTCCCTCCCCCTTGTTCCCTCTGTAACCATTCAATTCTTTCACTGAATTCAAGATTTATTCCTACTGTATTTTGCCTGTGTATGTTCCTTTGTTATTTATATT